ATTGTTGATCACGGTAGGATAATTTTTACTTCCTCATATCTATGATTATTTGTCGTTATCTTCATCTAAGCGAGGTGGGAGTGTTCATTCGCGACTGCAGTATTTCATCGCACGACAGAAAATAACACAGTGATTGTTGAGCGAGTAAACGATTTCTCATGCGTTAATGATTTCATTATTGTTTAAGGGTAGGATAATACTTTCTGGGTATGCCAACGATCATTTGATTTGCATAGCTAATGGGTATGGATTCATCTGGTGCGACATTGATACGTTGAAAAATATCTGATACGAACAACTCTACATGTTGTCAATAGTGTATTCTTGTGTTGTCAATATGCTATCGATAGTTGTCGATGCACTGTATTGTACATGATGACTTGTAAGAATGCTTATACCACCAAAAAACATGTATTATGTTATGTTTTTTTTCATATAGAGGACATTTTATATATTATTCTCAAGCATGTGATGCAAGCTTCTTTTGTTGCAAAATCTCTGTTATACCTCATAAGAATGACTTGTGGTGCAAGATGACCTTTATAAGAAGAAGATAGAATTCTTGTGGTGGCTATTGAGTCATTGTAACAACGTGAAGGAGCACAAAGCCATGCCCTTATTAGAAAGATCCTAGGAAAGGAAGAAGAGGAAATAGAAGATTATTGATAGAATTTTAGGATATAACTTTATTAATAATCATGTCTTTTTATATAGTTAGCTTATTTCGTGTAGTTAACTTAAACAATATTATTATGAATGGTGATTACAAATTTGTAAATGTGGCAAATAATTTGTTTTATTAATTAAATGTTGACAAGTGACCAACTGTGATTGATAAGTGGTTTTCACTTTATTGATAAACTATGCATTCGCTATTGACTAGTGCTGATACATTAGGTGCTGTTATTTCCTTTAAAAATCAACAAACTACAAGAACCTGTTGATTACTTGCCATTGGCAATTGACAAGTGGTTATCACTATATTGACAAGCTATGCATTCACTATTGATAAGTGCTAATACTTTAAGTGCTGTTAGTCCCTTTAAAAATCAACAAGTTACAAGTTGATTATTTGCTGTTGGAATTGAGAAGTGGTTATCACTATATTGACAAACTATACATTCACCATTGACAAGTGCTGATACATTAAGTACTATTATTTTTTAAAAAAATTAACTAGTTATAAGAACCTGTTGACCACTTGCTATTGGCTACTGACTGCAAGTTATCACTATATTGACAAACTATGCATTCGCCATTGACAAGTATTAATACATTAAGTGCTGTTATCCCCTTTAAAAATTAACCAGTTACAAGAACCTGTTGACTACTTGCCGTTGGCCATTGACTACAAGTTATTATTATATTGACAAGCTCTATATTTTTCATTGACAAGTGTTGATACATTAAGTGCAATAATTCCCTTTAAAAATTAACTAGTTACAAGAACCGATTGACTACTTGCCATTGGTCATTGATTACAAGTTATCACTTCATTGCCAAGCTATGCATTCTTCGTTGACAAGTGCTGATACATTAGGTGCAATAAACAAAAAAATAAATTCCAAATACATAAACAAAAAAGTACACTTGTCTCTGATATTTTCTAGCATGGATTAAGATTTTTGCAAGTCTTGGAGGTATGACCAGTCTCATGGCATCTTGTACAATGATAAACCCTTTTGTTTTGGATTTAAGATTCTCTTCCTTTACGCTTTGGCCTACCCGAAAGCCTTATAATCATTTGTAGCTTCAATCAGGTTTGGGTTAATAAATTTGTCACCGTCAATGCTTATGGATATGGATAGTCATGTATGACTACCGACCTCATGTTGTTGGCATATATCTTCTGTTGAGTGGTAAACTTGTAACATTCATCCACAAAATTATACACATTGCCATAAACTAGCTTGATTGCTCCACATGCATGCACACAAGATATTTCACTCTTTTGCCATGCTAAACAAGAGCATGTATGTGCTACTCATTTGATGATATTATTCTTGTGAACTCTTCATACGTTGTCCGTTCCTTTATTGTTATTGTTCTAACACTCCCCCCAACATATTGCATACTTCCTTGGTCGTAATTTTGAAAATGTTCCCTATATGAAAAAAAATATAATATATGTTCTTCAGAAGAACTTGCCATCTTACAGGTCAACTAACATCACACACAGTGTATTGACAACTATACACAGCATAATATCAACGCATTTATCCATTATTGACAAGAAGAAATGTTATTTCATAATCGAGATTTTTTAACAAAAGAAGCTTGCATCATATGCTTAAGAATAATATATAAAATGTCCCCTATATGAAAAAAACATAACATAATACATGTTTTTTTTTTGTGGTATAAGCATTCTTACAAGTCATCCTGCACAACACAGTGCATCGACAACTATCGATAGTATATTGACAACACAAGAATACACTATTGACAACATGTAGAGTTGTTCGTATCAGATATTTTTCAACGTATCAATGTCGCACCAGATGAATCCATACTCATTAGCTATGCAAATCAAATGATCGTAGGCATACTCAGAAAGCATTATCCTACCCTTAAATAATAATAAAATCATTAACGCATGAGAAATCGTTTACTCGCTCAACAATCACTGTGTTGTTTTCTGTCATGCGATGAAATACTACAATCGCGGATGAACACCCCCACCTCGCTTAGATGAAGATAACGATAGTAATCATAGATATGGGGAAGTGAAAATTATCCTATTGTGATCAACAATCATGAATATGCATCAATCTTTAGTCTCGCTGACCATGGGTTTCGTGAGATTTGCGTTTAAGCAAGATTTTCTTTTTAATGGTAGAGGACAAATTAGTAATTTTATTTTTAGACTTATTTACCCTTAAGTCCCTTGGAATTTGGTAGCTATTTGATGAATTTATGGGATTTTAGTGTATTTTGATTGCTTCCACGGGACATTAGAATGATTTTTCCTTTTTAAATTTAAAAAATTCTGAATTTTTAATGGTAGTCTTACGTAAAGTAAAATGGACTCTTTTTTTTTAAAAAAAAAAATTCTTTTGCCCAAAAGTGGAATGGATTTGTACCACATGTAAGGAGGGCCCACGGAGAAGAGATGTGGATCGAAAAGCTGGCCCCACATGTCTGTGATTCACAGATTTTATTTTAAATATATTAAGCTGTCCTTTTCATGGGACATGCTACAACATCTCTCACTCACTCACTCACTGATCTGCCCATGAAGGTTCACCACAATTATTAAAGTCATGCTCAGTCCATTCCCCACCCCACCCAAAATAAGACACCAAAAAAAAAAAAAAAAAAAAAAAAGAAAAATTCAACACAAAATAAAAAGCATATTCCATCTATTACAAATATGTGTAATCAATTTATAAATTATTTGCATTTCTTTTTATTATTTGTATTTTTTGGTAAATATAATTTTAAATTTTTAGGAATGATAAAATTAGTCTTTTAAATTTATCTTATTTATTGGTTTAATCCTTTAAGTTTATTTTTGTTATAAATTTGGTCATTTAAAAATGAGAAAAAAGACTATTAAAATTTTCTGATGTGAATAATAAAAGCATCGTGTATAATAAAATTAGAAAAAAAAATATAACAAACAAAATTCATACTCTTTTAATCATATATCTACATATTTTACATATGACTTCTTATGTATTTAGTCTTTTGCACTTAATATACTTTATTTAATCAAATCAAAACAAGAAAATTTTAATGTGATTATAATATTAATAACAAGAGTTTGTTATGAGATACATAATTTATAAAAGATATGTATGTCTTAATTTAATTAAAAATAAGTACTTTATATATATGAAGCTAACTATATAATTTTTTTTCTTTTACATATCAGATTAATTTGTAGGTCAATTTATGTTTTAAAATATAAAAAAGTTATAAAATAATTTAAAAATTATATATGATATCGTATTCATGGAAAATTAAATTTGAAAAATTAAAATAATTTTAAGGGAGTAAGAATTTTTTCCCCCCTTGGAAATACAGGGTTAAAGATTTACTTCCATTCATTTTCATGCGTCACCCCACTTTGTTTTTAAGTTTCGCCGCCAGGAAATTCTTTAATGCACTTCACCGGCCTATCACCTACGTCTTCATCAAACGCCACTGGCATTGGATGGGCACACGATAGCCCCAAGCGGCTAAGCCACTTCTTTACGCTGTCGTTTCCGGGCGACCTAATTATGCTTAGTTTGCGTGCGCATTATTATATGCTCTTCTAGTCCTCTCTATAATTTAATTTTATCAATCTTATCAATACTAATTAATATAAAAAATAAAAAAATATATAAAATTTTAAATTTGTACCTATTTAACAAATATTCTCATAAAAATAATTTTTAAAATATCTTAATTAAAATATATTTTTAATTTTTAACTTTATATAAAATTTTAATTTAATATTTTAATTGTATAAATTATTTTTTAGTTATTTAATACTAACATTATTAGTTTTAAATGATTATTTTTATATCATTCATTCATTATTATTTTATAAAAATTAAATTTAATATGTTAATATTTAAAAGTTTAATACTTTTTCTATATTTTTAATTTTTTAAAGTGTAATTATTATCTTTTCTTTTAAAGTGTCCCTATTAATGAATGATTTTATATTTATTGTAGAGTATTTAGTAGAGATAAATATAAAACTATAGGGTTAATTTGTTAGTAGGTAACTACTTTATTAAGGGGTGTGATTTTGTTAAAAATACCTTATATTTTTTAACGAAAGAAATATAAAAAATTATTGAGATAAAATTAATAATATTAAAATTAAAGGATTAAAAAATATTATATAAAATTAAAAAATTTAAAATAAAATATTATATAAAATTAAAAAATAAAATATATACTTTATTACTTTAATCAAATATCTTTTAAATGTTACCCCAAAACCACACCTTCATTTATAAATGAAATCGAACATGCCTTATAAATGTGCGCCAGCCCTCTCTTATCGCCCTTCGTTCTGCTTTTAGGTGTCATTTCTTTCCATCTCAAACCCCACCTTTAGCTTTCCCCTCTCTATCAGTTTTCTCTGCCCTCGCCATCCATAGGATTTTGGCTTCGGTATTCCAACCTTTTGATTCCGATCTCGTAACGAATCCTAGCTGCGCTTCCCGATTTCTGCTCTGTCTTCAGATAATCTGAAATTAATGTCTAACGCGAGACGACGAGATTTGTTTGATGCCGACAAGGCCAGTGGATCTGATCCCTCCGACCATCCAGCGATTGCTGAAAATTTTGAGGATTCTTCGTCCGTGGACAGCGTTTCTTTGAACGGCGTCGAATCCGCCGGTGCGAGTTGTAGGCTTCCGGGAGAGAGCGGTGGATCGAGGAGGGAGACGATGCTTACGCAGCGGTTGACGGATATACTTGTAGATCAGGGCGATGGTGATCTTTTGCTCCAGCAGACCAACCAGGATGATCATCTGTTGCAGTGGTTTCAGGCTCTTAATATGCAGATTATGGGGGCATGTCGCGCTGATGAGAGGCTCAAACCCTTGTTGAAGATGAACGTCTCCGGCGGCGTCGCAGAAGATCCCCTGCTAACCCAATTAAGTCAGGTAAGAGTTGTATTTCTGTTTCCCGGTGTTTTTATCTGAAAGATGTCCTGAGTCTTGGCGGCCTGAGGGATGAGGCCACTGTAAACTTCATTTTTAGCCTGAATTTTCGAGATTGCACAAACGACTTGTTCGTACTTCTTTTTTGTTCGAGTTTACATCGAACCAACAACTTATTTGTTTTCTCCTCAACTTCTGTCAGATTTGTCATGTAAATGGCTAACCGCCCTTTAATTTCTCTTAATTGTGCAGCATTTCGAGCCAGCAGAGGTTGGGATGCTTGCCAGATGCTTCTGTGTACCTCTTGTTTCGATACGAGTTGGAACGATTCACAAGGAAGGGTCACGTTTGTGTCCTACTGCCAATAGGTAATCTCATTTAAACTCTTATGAAAATCTACTTGTTAGATGTTCCCCTATATCTTCGTCAAGGGGAGAATCTTTGTATGGATATTATTGTAGATATTATAGCGTTTCGTTTACACAAACACAACTCATTTGTACTGTGCATTTTGAGGGATGTAGTTATAAAGCTTGAGTGCATTTTGCGACCTGAAGGATTTATTAATTATCTTAGTTTACCGTTCTGTCCCTATGATTTATTGTTGCCATAGTTATATATTCAATGTCGTATGAACGTATTCAAATTTTGGACTCATTGCCATATGTCCTCTTAATTATTATATCTATTAGCAGTTTGTTCTGTATTTCAAACTATGCTTCATAAACTATGCTGGCTGCTGGGTTTATGATTATCCATGTTGTTATAATAGTTTTCTGATGTTTCGCTTTTGCTCACGGATCTAAATGTACCTGTAAGTTAGTGTCTGTGTGTATGATCTTCTGTGTACTTAAGTATGATTTGAAAGCATTGACCTCTCTATCCCTTACACGCTTGCACATTCTGTGCTTCTGCATTCCTTGTTGATAATTGAAGCATGCATTTGTTTCCTGCACGCCTGTGTGTAAATCTTTTGTCAAATTATATGTGATTTTATGTTGGGTCTCTGTTGCTTGTTTTCTTTTGTGGCAACATCCTTTTTCTATCTTATTTCCAATCTTTTTGACAATAGGACTGTGACACCGCTTTTATCCTTGATTTTCATATCTCAACAGAAGCCAATAATAAAATCATTTTATAGCTTCTTCAACTTCAAGATAAGCTATGACTTTTTGGTCCATTTATGATATTCAGTGATTGCTGTAAATATATAAACTAGCTCCTTTAGTGCATAGGTTTTGGATGTTAAAACTATTTGTTTGCAAAGCTTGATATTTTCTGATTATTTGCCTTCAAGAGTTCTCATTTGGTTTCTCTATGTTATTCAATTGGAAACCAGTTTGTCACATGGCCACGAACACTTTCCAGTTTACAGTTTCTTCAATTTTTTAATTGATACCTTTTATGTTTCACATACAAATTTATTCCTTAGGCATCATGTATGATTGTATTCCATTCACTGCATATTTCTCTTTCTTTGGGCCGTTACATTTTTGTCTGTCTTAACTGGCTTTTCTGCAACTACAGTGATGATTTTTCTGCTTACATTGACACGTCCGGTCAAGCTCGAAGTAGCAATTATTGACTTGCTATTCATGGATTCACATATCTCTTATAGCGACTTGCTTCCATTATCTGAGATTGAATTGCTGGTTGTTATTCTGAATTTAATTGTAGTCTTCTTACTGACGTGTGTAGTTTGTTGGGTGATCAATAGAAATTGTAGGAGTCCATAGTTTAGATTATTAATGGTAATATTTTCATTCTTCCAAGTAAATATGTCTTTTGGCTTGTAGGTAACTGGGCGTATTCTATTATGATCTCTGAATTAAGAAGAAGTAAAGGTAGTTCCATGATCCTATATTATACATATTGCTGTCTTGCTTTTCAGATCTTGAGGTTTGAAGTTCTTTTGTCGAATAAAATTAACTAACATCTTGTGCTGAGGTCCACCTTTAATTAGTATTGTAGTTGTTGTTTGCTTATCATATTTGTATACTGTCTTTGTTGTGTGTGTTGGTTTTTTAATGTTTGCTTTAGGATGATAGACATGTTTTTTTTCTTTCATTTTCATTAACGTGGTTGCTTATGCTAAGAATCTATTTTATTTAGTTTTAAACCACCCAGCTGTAATAAGATCCCATTTGGTATTTGGCTGTGTTGATATGGTAGTTTTTTTTTGCGAAGCAAAATATGGTATATATACTGTATGTTGAGATGCTGCGGACTAATATCCCATTTGTTTCAATAAGTTCTGGATTCAGGACTCTTTATGGTATATGTTCACAACAACAAGAAGAAGCCTCATCTTACTCCATAAAATTTGTTATTGATCATTTGAAGAGTATATCTTTCATTTTAAAGCATGCATTGTGTGCACACTCGCACAAGTACATACATGTGTATATAACAGAATGTTCTTGCATGCTGTGCTCCCTCTATTTCTATATATAAGAGGAAAAAACTGTATCACATAGTTTAAGTAAGTTAACTATAAAAACTCTGTCTGAAAATAAAACAATTGGACTAAAATGCCTTATGTTAATCAACATAAGGACGCATTATTTCTTGTTAATGTAAATTATGAGAGGTGATTTAGGAAATGTGTAATAAATGCTTATTGAAATGGGTGATTTTTTTATATAAAAAACAAGTAAAAAGTGATAGTTTTTTTTACAAATAAAAATGGAGAGTATGTGGCTATAAATTATGTGCCCATAAGTCCCTTTTTATGATTCTTGTTGATCAGCAATGATTATCATGCAGGTGGGGGAGCCAGTTAGAACTGATAAGTATTTTGAGCTAACTGCATAAAAACTTTGCTATAAAATTATATTGATGTTCTGCAAATCCTATTACTAGTTTTATTATGACTTGTTATTTTAAAGGCTTACAAAAAGGTAATATATTTTTGTCATGAGATCTAAAAGAAGCAGATTTTATAGTTTACAACACACACACACACACACACACCGGTGCATTGGTATGGAGCACATATGTTCGTGGTTATAGCCTGGGGTTACTTGTTTACTCTTGCAGTTTTACTTTTTTTTTAAAACATCAGAGGCTGTATTCAATGTGAAATTAAATGCTAAACTAAACTTATGATTTCGTACAAACTCCTAGAATCTTTGTATAGATAGTGATGGTTAATTAGACAAGGCTTTTTTATCATTGGGTTACTGCTTTTTGATTCAGTTTTATACTTTGGTGAAAGTTGTGACATGGTATCTCTTTTTGATACTTTGTTTTCTTTTTGATACTTTTCTTTTTCTACAAGTTCATTAATGTGGTATCATTCTATTTTGAATTGTTTACAGGGGAAACTTGGGTCTTACACTGCTGCCAAGTTCTGATCTTCGTCTCTCATTCATTGGAGATGATGGCAATGTAGAAAGGATGTTTACCCTAACCAAAAAATCACATTGTGCTGCTGTTGTGATCGAAGAAATCCCAGAAGACAGTTCTGGTCGTTCCTTCCTTATTAGAGGTCCAGATGGTGTAACCTTTTACTTCTGGTGCTCAGAGAAATCTAAGCTGTTAGGAACTGAATTACTAGGAAAGGTAATTTGGGTTGCACCTTTTTTAGTCTTCCATTAAATTTTCCCTCTCGGTCCTCTTCATCTGTATATTTTAAGTTGTATCTTTTTTCCCCTTGTAAGAGATTCATGCAAATATTACAAACTTTTCCCCCCTTAATCCAGTTGAAGGACTTGCTCAAGACGAAACCTTCTGTAGCAGATTTGAGTGGGATTAGCAAATCAAGGCTCGACTGTTTTGCTACTCAGCTTCGTGCTTTTCTCATGGGATCGTCAATGGGCAGTATTCATGAAAGTGTGGCTTGTACCTCAACACCATCTGCAAATGCCATGGCTCACAATGCTTCTCTGTCCGCTTCAAAATATGCCAGATCTCGACATAGTGGTAGTCAAGCAATGAAGGGAAATGCACTTTACCTTGGTAGTCTTAGTCCAAAATCAAGTTCGTTCAAAGAGGGTACCCCTAGAAACTTTTCTTCTTTCAGGATTGTAAGGGAGAAGCTAAAACGTCGCTGTGATAGCCAACAGCTTGCACTTGACGACTTGTCAAATGATTCGTTGAATACCTCGGATACAACTTCAAGTCATATTGGTCATGATAAACTTCCAGAAGTCACAAAAGCATTTCCTCCTTTAAGTTTCCTTGGGTCATTAGGAAATCTTACTGTCCCATCAAACCTTGGCCAACAAGTGGAAGTCCCTCCTTTGGCTACACCACTTTTTGCCCCCCACTATTGTTGGTGCCCCCCCGGGGTTTCAACTCATCCATCCCCAGCGGCACCTTCAAAATTTCCTGTCTCGTCAATTGAATCGCATCCTCTTCCCTTGGATGCCTCCTTGTTCCCTAACGCCATTCCAGGTAGCCTATTGGCGCCAACACCGCCCCTTAGTCTAAGCACTCCTATGGAATTCCCTCCATTCCTGCCTGATCCCTTGATCAGAATGCCTCTGCCAGCTTCTCAGCAGATTCCCACCTTCACACCTTTGATATGCGATCCAATCGTTCATGTCCCAGTGATTGATGTGTGCTCTTCAGGAGGTCAGGGCTATCTTGTAAGCGCTGGCCCTGCCATGTCAACCGCCATTCCACCATTGCACCCAAATCTTGTGAAGCCACTGATTTCTGAATCTGATTCTGTGGTAAAGGGCGCAAGAGAGACTCTACGTCTGCTAATGGGTCGTTCAAGCCAGACCAACAAACAGGTTATGGACACTTTGCCTGCAGTTTTAACAAATGCGGATGAAAAACCGAGTATAATTGTGACTGGCAGCCGCGGTCTTTATGCCGGAACCAGAGACGTTGATGTTATTGCTAACAGCATAGCAGCCATGGGTTTAGCTTCACTCTCTGGGGCATCCAGAGCTGAGAGCGATTCCCAGGATTGTGGCGCCTGTGGAATTCCACACGAACAGGTGAGAGATTCCAGTGATGCAACTGGTAGTTAGTGCCTTTCTTTGATTCCTAGCCTACGTAATAACGTATTCCCTTTCTGGTAGTTTCTTAGGTTCCTTTTGTTCCTGCAATGTGTAGATATGTTTCTACCCTGCCCTTTTGAAATGTAACTAACTAGTGCAAGTTCTACCATTCTAGCCTTTATTCTGATGTTTGAAGAATATTTCATTACTTTGGTTTATATGTAGTTAGAAGAGTTATAATGTTCGAATATTGACGTGTGACATACCTATTATTCAACTCGCAATATGCTTCTCCGCATCAGAACACCGCTTTGATTTATCCTGCTCTAAAATTTTGTTAGGGTAAATTGAAAATGATCTTGCGTTGTTGATCAGGAAAAGTTGTTGACAAATGTTTAAATGTCATCAATCAAATGCTGTTACATGTAGCGCTAGGAAAGTGGGCGGGCTTGACTCTTAAAAGTTTTAAAACTCATCTTTTTATTTTTAGTCTTATTTTTTTAAAACTCATCTTTTTATTTTTAGTCTTATTTTTCAAGTATGGCCTCTGTATAAAGGGCTCAAGTTCAGATTTGCAAGTGTTGTTTTAAAAAATAAAAAATTAAAATAAAATTAAGAATTATAAATTAATTAAAATATTTTAAAATTTAAAAAATTAAAATTATCAATTTTTTAAAAATTAAATTAGTTTAGTGATAAAATTTAAATTTTGATTAAAAAATATTTTTTATAAATACACAAGCATAATAATTATAAAAAAATAAAAAATATTAAAAATTTTATACTATACACTTATATTTATTTGATGATATTAAATTAATTTTAAAATAAATTAAAATTAATAATAATATAATGTATGTAGGATCAGATGAGTAGATTATTAGCTTCAAATAAATGTTTCACCAAAAAAAAAATAATAATTATATAATAGAGTTTGAAAAAGTGTTCAGGCTCGAGTTTTTTTTTTACAGGGTTTATCAGGGTCAAACTCATAAGTTGGATGATTTTAAAAAATTTATTTTCAAAGCTTGAACTTTTATTTAAATAGTTGGATGATTTTAAAAAATTTATTTTTAAACCTTGAACTTTTATTTAAATAGAGCTTTCAAACTCGAATTTTCAAATTCAACCTTTATTTCTAACTCTAGTTAGACAAACACATCAGTTTTTATGACTTGAAAATATATTTAGAGGATATAAATTAAGAATGAAAAAAAAAACAAGGATTAAATGGTAATTTAAATTTTAAATTACAAATCAAACTTCAAATAATAAACTCTAAATAATTGAATTGAAGGTAATTTTGGTGCTACTATTGAATTAAAACAAATGTTGATTATTAAAACAATGGGGCCTGCAATCTATGTCAAATTTCACACTCCTTCTCTCTCATGTCCTCTTTTTCACTCCTACCCCGTCTCTGTCTACCTTCTCCCTCCCTCTCCCCCGTGTCTTGCTCTCTCTCCTCTCTCGCTCTGAAAATACCACACTAAGTCGAAGACAACGTTAAAGCAGCTTCCAAGATGGTGAGGAAGAGATTGAAAGCTGCAGGGAGGAAAGAGACAAGGAAGGAAGGATGTGGTGGCTGCAAGGTCCGATATTAAAACGGTGCTCGAGAAAACCATGGAAATTTCTGATCCATGCCTCATTTAAGAAGCCTCTTCTGCCCTCAACACATGCCACATGGCGTATCGTGTGCTCCAGGGAAATTGAGAAGAATCACTGGATGGGAGCATAAACTAGGTATAATGGAAATTAGAATGTTTAGCCAAACTGAAACGGGTGCATTATTGAAAGTTTGGTTTTGTTTCCCAGTAGGCTCGTGATTTCCGTCTGGCTATGTTTCTTATTTTTGGTCTGGCTTCCGGTTCAAGAAATGGGAAGCGTAGTACAAACGATAGTACTAAAAAAACAATAACAATAAACGTGTTGTATGACTAATGTACAAGATTGAAGGCTAAGATCGAGACGTTTTCACTGGGTAATGAATAATAACGGGATGATGATAAAGGAGGAAAAAAACCGGAGGGAAGTAGTTGATGGGTTGGTCTTGGTCAATAAGTTGGAGCGAGGCTTCGAAGAAACTGGAGATATATGTACTGAGACTCAAAGGTGTAGATCTGTCCCGTAATATCATGAGGACACCCAATATCCTTAACTAATGAGAAGGTAGTATTGCCCCCAAACTTTCTAAATTAGTGCTATGTGTCCTCATTGTAATAGATAAAAAGGTTGATAGTTAAAGTGCTAACTTTTTAACAAAAAATATGCCATGATGGCAAGCCAAGTAGGATATATATTATATAATTTTGATTTAATACATTCATTTAAAATATAAAAAAGAGTAAAATGTCCTTTTTAAAATTAAAAAAGAAAATATCATTATGAATCTTGAGTCACCAAATTCTACAACATGGATTCACCTTCAGCCACTGTCTCCAAAAACATATCCTATCCTATATAATGTAGATTTCACTTATTATTTCATCAAATCCCACAAGCCCAGAAAAACAAAACCTCAAAACTTGATTCTAAGAGCAATTGAAATGAAAGCAAGTTTTCACCATTGATCTTCTTACTCTGAATTCAAACTTTTCTACTAACGAAACGACGGTGTGATCAAACTGAAGTCCGAGTTCTAATTAGAACTGAAGTCTCTACTCCCGCTAAACAAAGTTCCTCTCATTGAAACGGTGGGTTGACCGGTGGCGACAGCAGCATCGATTGCGGCGGCGGCGGCCACTGCAGTTGCGTGTTTGTTCTGCTCTTTCTCTGCTTCGAACATGTAGGATCTAAACCAAGCGAAATCAGGAACCAGTAAGGCAGAAATATTGATCCGGTCCCTGTCTTTCTTCAACCCCGACAATGCCTTCAACTGCCTGGAAGCCTTCCTCATGATTTCACCTTCTCTCCCTAAAACTTTCGAGCACGATCTAGAGAGAGAATGACAAGTTAATAAAACTCAACCAAATAAATGGGCTTTTGTATTTCTCTGGCATAAAGGTGAACAAATCGGGTCGCCTGCTTTGGAACCAAGAAGAATTTGTAGACTATGACTCGTGGTGCTTTGGAAATGATGATGGAGCAGAAGAAAAAGAGCATCGTGAACCTCGATGTCGATGAACTCGACTGTGTCATGTGAGTGAACATGAAGGGCATGGGCCGCGTGGCCCTTGGAATCAAGCACATGGTGAGGGTGATCATACGCTAAACAATCTGGGTGCATTATATCGATGTTGAGTGTCACCGTCCGATGTCATGCAAGTGAACGTGAGGAAGCCATTGGGAATGATGTGGTGAAGAGCTTTGATATTTAGAATGGGAAGGATTGAGTAAAGAAGGATGATGTCAGCTTTATGCTAGTGGTTTGCAGGCCCAACTTACGTGCACACGCCGTTTGCCCCATCCATTAACTTTGGGCCACATTGCATTGTCTTATAAAGCTCAGAGCCAACATTGCCCTTTTCGTTAGTTAATACTGGACGCCCCTAGGGTGATACTTTGAAGCAAGATTTGCACCTTTACCTTATTTGGGTAGCCTCTTTTGCCCTTATTTGTAGCTTTCAATCTCTTCCTCCTCGTCTTAAGAGCAAAGCGACTCTATGTCATTCTTCTGCTTCAACATCATCTTCAGCTTAGTGTGGTATTTTCAGAGCAAGAGAGGAGAGAGAGAGAGAGCAAGACACCCCCAGGGGGTAGAGAGAGACGAGGAAGGAGTGAGAGAGGAGGGTAGGAGAGAGAAGGAGAGTAGAATTTGAAGGAAACTGCACATTTGGCCTCTTTTTTTTATTTAAAGGGAACGGACGTTTATTTTTATTTAACAGTGAGATAAAATTGTCTTAAATTTAATAGTTTAAGATTTAGAATATACCAAGTATGAGTTTAGGGTTTAAATCACTCATGAACTTATAGTTTAAAGTTTAAATTGCCATTTAACCTAACAAAAATGGAGAAGAAGACCATTGGTCAAATTGAAAAAAAAAAAACATGTGAGGAACCAATGGGGTTAAGTCTAGTGGAAGGGGTTAGCTCCTTATAACATAACGAATCAATATTCAAATACTCATTGAGAGAGATATTCCCACTTAATGTCCCTCATAGGAAGATACGTGTGGGTAATTAAAAAAAAAACAAGTAAGGAAAGTAGCAAGATGAAGATCTAACTTTTTGGCAAAATATTAATTTGAGATAATAGCATTTTGAATCCTTTAAATTTATTTTAAATATTGATTTCATCTTTGAAAATTAATATTTATCAATAATGTCCCTAAAAATTAAAAGCCATACTCCCTCCGTTCAAAAATATAAGGCATTTTTAACCGAAACTCACTCCCAATAAAGTGAATACCTATTTTTAAACTAACCTTATCTTATTTAATAAAGGTATTTTATCTTAAGAACAAAACTTAAGGCGCGAAAATTAAGGTTCATATTTTGATGCGGAAGACACGCATTAAAAACATTTTAATATCTAAAAAGGTATTTTATCTTTCCTATTTTGCCCCAATAAAGGTGTATGTAGTTGGAAGAATGGTTATTATTCTCTCTCTTTTAAATTATAGAGCATTTTTAAAAGAGTTTCGTCATCTCAAAATATAAGATATTTTGAATAAATTAATATTTTATTAAATATATTAATTTTAATATTACCCTTTCTATCTCTATAATCAATTTTCGTCCCTTCTCTTTTTAGTATATTAAATGATAGGTATTTTTTAAAGTTTATATTTTTATTTTAGAAAGATAAAATTGTTAAGGAGAGTAGAATTTGAAGGAAACTGCACATTTGGCCTCTTTTTTTTTATTTAAAGGGAACGGACGTTTATTTTTATTTAACAGTGAGATAAAATTGTCTTAAATTTAATAGTTTAAGATTTAGAATATACCAAGTATGAGTTTAGGGTTTAAATCACTCATGAACTTATAGTTTAAAGTTTAAATTGCCATTTAACCTAACAAAAATGGAGAAGAAGACCATTGGTCAAATTGAAAAAAAAAAACATGTGAGGAACCAATGGGGTTAAGTCTAGTGGAAGGGGTTAGCTCCTTATAACATAACGAATCAATATTCAAATACTCATTGAGAGAGATATTCCCACTTAATGTCCCTCATAGGAAGATACGTGTGGGTAATTAAAAAAAAAAAACAAGTAAGGAAAGTAGTAAGATGAAGATCTAACTTTTTGGCAAAATATTAATTTGAGATAATAGCATTTTGAATCCTTTAAATTTATTTTAAATATTGATTTC